AAATGTTTTGTGGGAAAACGGTAACCCAGGGAGATAGAAAACTAAAGACAACCTTCATTTATTGCAGGAGTCACTTTGCTCAATAACTAGGGGACATCCTATCCTCAAAGGTAAAAGCAAACCACAACAGCTTTGAGGGAAAGTCATTTGGTAAATGTATCAAAATCTTTTTTTTTAATTTATTTTTTTGTATCAAAATCTTTTTAAATGATGTACATAACTTCTAACCTAGTAAACTCATTCCTCAGGGTATAAACCAAGATGCAAAAAATTTTGATAGAAATTATTATTTTCTAAGGGTGAGATTTGGAAACAAATGTCTATGAAGGAGGTGATACATTTTGATACATCGGTAAAAGAAAAATTGTCATTAAAAATAGTTTCTACAAAAAGAAACATGAAGAACTCACCAAATGATTTTAGTGAAAAAAAGCAGATATTGGGAGAATTGTGTTCTCATGGTTGGTTCATGAAGAATGCTGGAAAGTTCATATATGTAGTTCCCAATTTTACAGTAAACACAGGAAAATTAATGGAAAGAAATGCACAAGACAATAAATGGGTTATTCCTATATATTAGCATTATGAGTAATTTTAAGGTTAATAATATATACTTTTTGATTTGTTCTAATTTTTACAAAAAAGCATGTGTTATTTTACAATCATAACAAAGTTATTTTTGAGTACAAATTGCACACTCCTAGGAGAAAGTACTTGGCAATTGTCAGATAAAAAACAAAAGCCTTCTACTTCTGGCTGTTATGAACTAGTTTGTAGAAGACCAGTTCTCCATCCCAAAACAAAGAGAAAAGTGGCTTCTCTTTGACATCTGCCATTCTAGACCAACGACTTGCTCCTTCACTGTCTTCTGTTCATTCTTCTGGTTCTACTCTTACCTCTGTCTCCTGACCTGTTTCCCTTGCCCAAGGTTTGGCCCATGTCTCTGTGTGTACTCTCTTTTCTTGAAGTGTTTTCCACTCCCTTGGCTTAACTATCACCTTTGTGAAGATGAACGTAATCTTTATTCCTAAGCCCAACCATTCCTGCCAGCTCTAAACTTCTATATCTGCCTATCTACTGGACATCTCCACCTGGATTCTACAGAAACCTCCAACAATACAAATTAAACTCAGTGTTTGTCTCACCGACCCAGTGGTTTCTCATTTCTGTTGAGAACACCGTACGTCACCCAGAATTAAAAACTGAATGACTATGAATTCTTCATTACTTCTCCCTCCCAATATCCAGTCAGCTGCCTGAAACTATACGTTGACTATAATGTATCTTTTTGTATTCTCTTCCTTGGCATTCTCAATGTCATCTCTGTAATTTAGGCCCCAGTCTTCTCATGGCCAGATGACTGCTTCAGGCTCTTAGTTATCGTGCCTGCTTCTATTTATTTATGTATTTCTTTTAAGTAAGCTTCATGCCCAGCACAGAGCCCAACATGGGGCTTGAACTCACAACCCTGAGATCAAGACCTGAGCTGGGATCAAGAGTCAGACACTTAATAGACTGAGCCACTCAGGTGTTCCCTGCCTGCTTCTAGAATCTCCTCCCTAAATCATTCAGCAAATCTTCACCTGTTTAATTGTATTAATAACTCTATTCAAAAATTTCTATACCTATCTACCAAGTACAAATTAAAACCTAAACTACTTTGCTTGGCATTTAAATTCCCTATAGGGCACCCTTCACTATCTTTCCAGTCTTATTTTCCAATAATTTCCAATATGAATCATAAACCCCAATCAAAAACTCCTACTCACTGTTTACCCAAATGCCCTGTGTCTTCTCATTTCTATGACTTTGATCATGACATTCTCTCTTCCTAGGTAATTTTCCCTTTGCTAACTAAACCATGAGATCTAGCTCAAATAGCATATATTACCTAATCACCCTTTCTTAAAGTAGTCAGGCTTTCTTCCCTAACACATCATTTATATTGTTCATATGATATTTATCTTATACTGCATTGTTTCGTATTCATATAAGTATATATCTAATATACCCACACAAAGTTATAAACTCTTTGAGCTTATAATGACCTAGCAAAGTGCTTGGGACAGGGTAGGACTTTAAGACATATGTGTTGAATGAATGAATGAAGCCATATATATATATATATATATATATATATATATATATATATATTTACCCCAGAGTTTCCCAGAAATAAATAGCTGCAATAATACAATAATATTTTTAAATGTTTACACATCTAATTGGCATGGGGGCTACAAACATGAGGCCTTGCTCAGGCCTGTCTTGTTCTTAGGCAACAATAACAGTAGGCTGGGGTGCATATATGAATCCTCACAAGCCCTGGCAGTCCTTCTTAAGAGCTTTCTTCCTAAGCAGAACTGAGCATTTGCAATGCCAATGACATGAGTATGTTATTGTTAGAAGTAACATTTCTATGGATTTCTGGGAAACCAATACTAACTAATCTTCTAAAATGTTATGGATTCATAGCAATATACAAACTACAAAAGCACATGAGCCCGAAGTAAAATAGATGAATCTCAAATTATGAACCAGGGGTGATATTGGTGGTAAGAATTAGCAACACATCAGAATAACTGGTGTTCAAATGTCAAATCCTTAGCCCAGCACTGTCCTTTACTTTCTCCCAAGGTGAAGGTCAAAGGGTATTTCTTTGCCCTGGAAGAAAACAAGATGAAGGACTACTTCACAAACAATATTTGCCCTAGATGAAAAATGTTTGAAGTGAGAGTGCCATTAAAATTAGAGTACCATTAAGTTGAGATTTGTGCAGTGGGAAAAAATCACATCACTGCACTTAGGACCAGAATTTAAGTGTTTGGTTTATTTGTTTAGAAGCTTCATAAGGAAGTGATGCTAGAATTTAACATTAACTAATATTACTGATAAAATTTTCAGATAAGGGCTTGAAACAACTCAAATGAAAAAGTTTCTATTTAAAAGCTCATGGGGGTGGGACAATTTCCTAACCATAGTTGATTAATCATAATCTCTCCCTAAAACCCAACTATAATTATAGTAAACAAATTTTAAAAATAGATAAAGTCCCAGGAACAGAGGAAAAAAAGAAACAGTGGGCTAGAGATCTTAACGAAATTTTTGAAGACCAAAAGTATATGAGAGTGAGGTAATTAATTTAGCAGAGCCTGTTACAATCTAAGAACCTACAAAGAGAGATTATATTCTTTAGAGGAAAATCAGTTTTCCCTATAGAACAAAGGAAATGTCATGTCTTGGAGGCACCAGGTACCACAAAAGGCAGGAATGTGCAAAGGAGAGGAAACAATGAGATTTGTTCAAAGTCTTTTTACTGAGCAGTTGGACCTCCATGTCCCAAACCTCTACTCTGAGCAGCCGAGTCACTATCCTCCCTCATAAAGGAGACAAGAGGTTTATTATTTTTTTTAAGATACTGAAGCTGAGAGGCTTTGAATGTGGTACCACCAGACAGGAGTGGGGTGTAAGGCTGAAAACAGGGAAATTAAGTGAAAGTCTACCTTCCTACTGAATAGTGAAATCTGAGTACAGAAAACGGAAGTTGAATTTAATTCCCCAAGAATGGCTGAGTAAATCTCTGAGGAAGAAGCAATCAAGAAGGAACCTTGTACCCAGGAGTACTACCTTTTATTTTTTTTTATTCCAAGATTTTATTTAAATTCAAATTAGTTAACATGTAGTATAGTATTGGTTCCAGGAGTAGAACCCAGTGATTTATCACTTACATATAACACCCAGTGCTCATCACAAGTGCCCTCCTTAATGCCCATCACCCACTTAGCCCATCCCCCCACCCACCTCTCCTCCAGCAACCCTTAGTTTGTTCTCTATTGTTAAGAGTCTTTCATGGTTTGCCTCCCTCTCTGTTTTTATCTTACTTTATTTTTCCTTTCCTTCCCTTATGTTCATCTGTTTTGTTTCTTTTTTTTAATTTTTTTACTGTTTATTTCTTTTTGAAAGACAGAGAGTACAAGTGGGAGGAGAGGCAGAGAGAGAGGGAGACACAGAATCCGAAGCAGGCTCCAGGCTCTGAGCTGTCAGCACAGAGCCCGACATGGGGCTTGAACTGGTGAACTGTGAGATCATGACCTGAGCTGAAATCAGATGCTTAAAACACTGAGCCACCCTGTTTTGTTTCTTAAATTCCACATATGAATGAAATCATATGGTATTTGTCTTTCTCTGACTGACTACTTTCACTTAGCATAATACACTCTAGTTCCATCCACATCATTGCAAAGGGCAAGATTTTGTTCTTTTTGATGGCTGAGTAATAATCCCGTGTGTGTGTTTGTGACACACACACACACACCACCCCTTCTTTCTCCATTCATCAGTTGATGGACACTTGGGCTCTTTCCATAATTTCTATAATTTGATAAGCAGCACCATCTTTTAAACCCCTTCTGGATCATGCATAGGTTGACTGACCTCGCTCTCGCCCAACCAGGTACCTGGTAGGCCTTACCATTATGTATCAATGTATAGTCTTTTATACATTTTATAAATGGTATACCTTATAAATGGTAAGGTCAGTAATTGAAGAAAGATAACATTCATGAGATCTGGATTCAGCTTATCTAGATTCTATTTCTGACTCTACTTTTCTCTAGTTGTATGATAGAGAGCTACTTTAACCTCCCTCAGCCTCAGTTCCCATCTGTAAAATGAGAATGATGACAGTCTCATATTCATAACACTGTAATGAAGATTAAATAAGATATTTATCACAGTGTCATCACGTAGCCAAGACTCACTAATGTAAACTATGAGAATTATTATTGACATATTTGAAAAAAAATGTTAGCTTGCATTTTATGTCAAGATGGTATACTGATCCACAAATCATATTTTCTGTGCATCTTGCCACATTTTAGGCTTGCCCTTTGATTAGAGATATAAGATACAGTGGTTTTCTGGCTCTAGGCCCTTCTGACAAGACCTGCCTTCCTTGAACTGCCCCTGCAGGTCACGTGACATTGTTCTTTTTTCACCAGTACCACCACCTTAACAATGGCTGATTGGACCAGGTGGACACCCGACCCAAAGCAAAGCAATTCAATGGCTTTCCATAGACTAATGAGAGATTTCCCTATGTGAAGAATTGGAACCAAGAGACCGTATGTAGTCGGTCATGTGCACTGGACAAAGGTGAGGCAGACAAAGGTCTGGCAGTGAAACTGGGCAATGTACAGCTGGGGACTGGATGGCAGGGAGGGAAGGAGAAGCAGAAATGAAAGAGATAATTTCAACTTTTTTTCCATGATCTAATTGCCACAATATTGCTGCAGAATAAACAACCAGAAAATATTAGTAGCACTCAAGAATAAATATCTATTTTTGGTCTTGAGTTTCTGTGTTGGCTACGCAGTTCTTTTGATCCAACCAAGCGTCCATGGCATCCTTTGTGGATCTACGGCCAAATGTGTGTTAGTTAGGTAGCTTTGCTAATATTATCCGGACTTTCTCACATATTTAGAGCTTCAGCTGAGACAACCAAGCTGACTTGGCTGTGTTCCATGTATATCATTGTCCTGCAGGTTAACCTGGGCCTGTTCTCATGGCAAAGTCAGAGGAGTAAGACAGGAAATACGTGCATACTTTTCAAGTCTCTGCTGACATCATGCATGCTAATATCCTACTGGCCAAAGTAAGTCAAGTGGCTGAGCCCAGAGTCAGAGCGGGAAAGGGCTTCAAAGTTACAGGGCACGGGGTGAATATATAGGAATACCATTAATCCATTAATCAGAACCATAATGCAATATATCTTCCACAACCTCTGACAAAAAAATAGAAAAGAATGTCTTTGGTTTAGTACCTTCCCAACTCTACTTCCTAAGAGTTGTGACTATACTCTGGTTCCTAGGTCCGTGACATTGGCTAGATTACTTAGAACAAATCCTCCTTACCCGAACTTTCTTGAGTGAATGTCTTTTCTCTGCAATCAAGAGATCCCTTATTAAAAGAGTCCTCAATTTTAGAAGAAATAATTCAGGGACAACCAAATACAGGACATGGTACCAAATGGCAAGAAGTTGGACTAAAACAGAAACCTCTATTCCGTTGGTCAACTAAATCGGGTACTTGCCTCATTAAGCACTGACAAACGGTTGTTTAAAGATGCCACTTTTTCTTTTTAATTTTGCTTTGCTTTCTTCTTTCCTAATCTCTTGGATTTCAGAAGAATTCACTAATTTTATGGTAAATCACCAGGACATGGCACATTTGACAATTCCTGTGTGATTTTTTTCAAATTTATGCTGCCCTACACAGACAAACCCAGTACTGCCGGTTATCTATTTCCAAGCCGCCTGTTTCAGCTTCAAGAGATATCTGGGAATATTTCACTCGCTTCAGAACTTCCATAAATATTCAATGAGACTGAGTGACCAGAATAGATCTGCACATTTCTTCTCTTTGCAGAACATGTAAAGAGTGGGGAGACGCTGTGCTGATTTCCAGCTTTGATTCAGAAAAATCTTGGCTCCCAGAGCTCTGAGCATCTGTAACTCCACACCCACCTGAGCTAATCTTGAATCAGCTGCTAAGACACATCCAAGGCTTTGAACACTCACACAGACTCAATAAAAGCTCTTCACATGGACCCTCTCGCCATCGGCTCCAATGTATCATTTAATAGAGACTGCTATAAGGCTTCTAAACACCCTCCAGTGCTGGGACTTATCTAAGTATGAAGAAGCCAACCTTCTAAGGGGTCTAAACCCTGGGAAATTTTACATCATTAGTATTAATGAGACAATTTCAAGTGACTGGTTTGGATTGTGCCCCCTCCCAAACCTAAGTTCCGACAGGTACCATAAAGCCCACATGAGATTAGCCCGACTGTGACACACCATTTTCCATCCAATTTGGGGTTCTCTCACAAAAGAATTCCAGATTTGCTTATGGCTTTAACCCTAATATCTGAAGCCACAGAATCGCGCAGTGCTGTAGATCATTGCATTTTTTGCTTGGCAGGCATCCTACTGATTTAAGATTGGTTACCCAGAGCCTCAGCAACATATGTCTATGGTGAAGAGAAAAGGAAGTGCAATCTACACGGAGCTAGGCAGAGTATATGTTTTCACAAATGATCCATTGACAGTTATTTCAGGCCAATACGCAAACACAGCCCTTTCCTCTAATTCGCAGACTATGTCAGTAACTTTGATCAGGGAGACAATAAATGGACTCTCCGTGGTTACAATCACAAGGCTTTGAAAGTTTTAGTAGAATCAGTCAAGTCCTTTTAGCGTATATCAAATCTTCTCCCGTCAAGATTAAAGAATGCAAAAGAAAAAAGGTACAAATATGGAGGGAACATTAGAATATTTTCATCATTATCATTAGCTTTTTTTCTCCTGCAGAAGGAAGATGAGAGGATTCAAAGTAGCCACTTGGAAAAAGCCTAGGGTCCCAGAGTTCCAAGACTTGTCTGAAGACCTTTGTGAGCAGCCATCTCCTATTGCAGTGAGAGTGGAGATGAAGCCCAAATGCTTGGATTTTCTAACTGGCAGTGAATGAAACTAACCCTTCCGTTTAACAAGCAATAGGCCAAAGGCAAATTGTGGGCAATGCTGGCCCCGCTTAAAGTTTTTTTGAGGGCTGAAACAAAAGCCTGATTTTGAAATGTACATGACTGTTACATCAGCAAATGGCACTACTGAGGTACCATAAATCGTGTTGCTTTCAAAAAAATCTTCAGTGGCTCCAAACACACTTCAGGATGTAGTTCTTTTACAACCTGTAATGTCCTTGGCAATTTTGTCCCTTCCTACTTTTACAACCTCATCTGCTGCCATTCCCCCAAACCTCTCTGAAAATACCTCACTCCTGACACCTGGAGATAACTTGCCACCTCTCTAACTCACCAGGCACTTTCAGGCCTCTTTGCCTTCACCCCTGCTCTTTCCCTCATTCGTACTCTTCTCTAATCATCATCGAAGACCTAGCCTTGGGAAGGCATCCCAGCATCACCGTGTACAGTCATTCCCTTAACCTTGTTTACCAAGCTCTGTAGAAATCCCAACATATTCTAACACTTTGTTTATTTGCCACGTACACTAGTGAGCACACCTGCGAGTTCAGCCATCTGCATACACGTGCACATATCCACACGTACATACACACACTTCTTTGAACATGGAACTCATTTCTTTAGTTGAAGTCACTACAAACAATAGTGAGTTTTATGGTTGCTTCCTGCTATCTTTTCACTTCTCTGGGGCTCAGCCTTTTACACAAGATCCCAAGAAGCCCCGAGCTGCCCTGTGCACCCTGTAGTCTGTTCATTGGTTCCAGGGTGATCTTCTGAGAGAGGGGCAATGCATTTCATACCCTCAAGTATCTAGCAAAATGCCTGGCAAAGAGTAAATATTCAGAAATACGGTGGAATTTATGATGCTCGCGGGTAGGTATGGATTTGCACTGTGTACACAGAATCTCTTTCCTGGAATTCTTTGTGAGTGACTGATAACTTATGTTTGCCAACTGGTGTGTCTATGGATGCCTGGGTGGTTCGGTCGGTTAGGCATCCAACTCTTGATCTCAGGGCTATGAGTTCAGGCCCCACATTGGACTCCGCACTGGGTGTGAAGCCTACTTTAAAAAAAAGTCAGCAATGGACAAAATTTTAAAAAAAAAAAAAAAAAGGTGTAGTGAACTGGTCCAGTTGGGAAAGGAATCCTTCACCAGAACTTAAATCTCATACACTAATCATGTAAGCCCCTGCCATAGACAAACTTTTTCAATACGAGAACCTACTCAGATACGAGTGTCACTTCCCCACTCCCAGGCTTTCTTGCTCTTGGGACACAAACCACGATTTTCATTAGTTTTGTTTTTTTCAGCTCTTTTCCTGCGCTCCTTAATCCTTCCCCATTTATAGAGTTATTTATGATGATTTGGCAGACACAAAGCTCTTTGCCATGACTCAATTGGCATTTTAAATTATTTTAATTTCAAGAGAAGCAGCAGTGATGCAACCATTTTTAACCACGAACTACTTAGAAACTTCCCCACTTAGGCAAATCCATGCTTGCAAGTAGAATGGATTTCATGATGAATTGAATCACCAGCCCACATGTCAAACCAAAGAGACGTTTCTTTCCACCACACTGCATTGATATTTGGAAAAGAGTTCTTGGGTAGCTTTAGAGTACCTACTACTACTGTTAAAAGAAAACCCCTAAGTCAATATTCAGCCCAAAGATAGTAAAAAAAAAAATTATAATGAACCTATAGTTGGGATAACCGCCCTCTCTCAAATGATCACCCTAGAACCAGTGAACAGACCCTAGAGAGCAAAGGGAAGCTTGGGACTTCTTGGATCTTCTTTAAAAGGCTGAGCCCCAGAGAAGTGAAAAGATAGCAGGAAGTAATTATAAAACCCTCTGGAGTATAAATTGATTGTTTATAGTGACTTCAATTAAAGAAGAAACAACTTCCCATTCCTATCTCCACCACATGAAGACAACTTCATCAATTGACTGACACGTGTGGAAAATGTATGCATCCAAAATGCAGAAGTGCATACAGGCATGTGCACACCCACTCACAGCCCTACACGCACACACACATACACACAGTCCTCACAAAAAGAAAAGGATTTCTCATCCCAGAAGCCTGAGTACAGAAACCAAAGCAAAACATATGACATGTTAAACCATAAAGGACTGGCCTCCTCCTTTCCCTGTACTTGGAAATTCACCTAAAAACATAATGGGACATATAAACAGACAGTAGTTCACAACGTTTATTTTACAGAGGGGAGTGGGATTGGGTGAGAAATTGAAGGTGAACTTTCATCTTTTACTAAATATTCTCCTATGCTTTTTGCTTATTTTTACAAGCATGCATTTGTATGTTATTTGCACCACAAACAAAAACAAGAAAAATAATGAAGGGGAGAAAAATAGTGTGGCTTAAGCTACTGATATCTGTGGCACATATCAGAGATTGTGCCAGAATTTCCCTTCTTTGTTCAAAATGTTTCATACCTGTAACTCTGCTAAGACTCATTTTTTGATGCCAGAAATCCCTTTGCTACAACCCATCAGACGTCCACTACCATGCATACCTGCCCTCTCACCGTCACCTTCAAGCCATTTACAAAAATCATCAGAAAGTGAGACAATCCAGAACTTCATTAAAAAAAAAAAAAAAAAACAAAAAAAAAAAACAAAAAAACAAGGTCATCGCCACAACAAAACGAACAGCTGAGTTAGAATACAGTGAGTTAGCCAGTCAGAATAATTGAGTCTGTATTTCTAAACCTAAGTCTCACTGTTTTGTGTAGTCTGTGTTTGTGTGTGTGTGTTACTTCATTTTTCAAATTAAGTTTTCCCAGATTCTTCATAGGTACATTCTTTTTCTGCAATATATATAATAGATAAGTAGATAGATACATACCA